AAAGATGGAACGGCCCCTGCGCCCGCTCAGTTCCTTTTGTGCTTGTCTCTTGCCCCCGAGATCCAGGCATCCCAGTGTACTCTCTCACACGACATGGCCTCGCAGCACACGTTCTGTGTCACGCAGACGCGCATGAGCACACACACACCACCCACACTCACCGTGCGTTTACACACGTCCACGGGCATTTTCAGCCACATTGTCCGACAGCTTGCACAATCACACACCACTGGGTCACATGCTCTTGCTCACATCGTTGTGTCACTTCCTGCCTTTCCTGTCCCCTCCCCTCAGCCATGGCGAGGCGCTTGCCCCCTGGGTGCTTAGATACTGCCACCAACAACCGTGCCCTGCTGCTGCCCGTTCTGCCCTCTCACTGTCTGGCGAGACGCCTCGGCCAGCGCCGTCCTGGTTGGACTCGGGGCTCGTGTCATTCCTAGCTCTCAGGTGCGAACGCGTGGTGTGCTGTCTTTCAGGGAGTGAGCGCTCTTCACAGGATTGGTCATTTGGGTGTGTGAGCTCACGGGCAGCCCCTGCAGACGCCCTGAATCCACGCTCCTTTTACATAATGCCTGCACTTGGGACTTCCACACCTGCGTGTCACTTACATCCGGGTCTCACAGCAGTGCGTGCTTCAGCTGTGAGGCTCCCATGTGGGGCACACAGCGCTCACTCCAGCCATGGCCAGGGACAACGCCTCCCTTCCCGTGTGACTCCCGGCTGACAGCTGAGAATTTCTTTTCCCACCATCGGTTCTGACACTGCCTCACTCAGGGGGCTCAGACTTGGCTTCTTGCCAAAGCAGAACCTGTAGCTCAGACCTGGTCCCAGATGAGGCCTTAGAATCCCAGCCCTGACAATGCCTGCCCACCTTGGCGTTCCCTTGGGCTGTGACTGGGAGCCCCTTCCATTGCCATGGGTTCCTCCTTCTGTTCTGAACCTGCAAATTCCACTTTCTTGGTTTTGAGCAGCTGTGTATATGTTTAAAACACTAGCAAGCATGCAATCTAGCATTTTCGATATGCTGGGAGAAAGATGGGAAATTTCACCTTGTGCCCACCCTGACATCCTGATCGATCTCTGCATTCCAAATACCTTGTCCAGTAAATACTCACTGAGTGTCCCTTCCTATTTTCCTCCTTTCTTGTGCCCTCCTCTTTCTCCAACTGTGTCTCCACCTCCTGTGCACTCCATGAGAAATCCTGGTTTCAGAGGGCCCTTGGTCCTGGAGGGAGAGCCTCCTGGTCAGAGCTGTGGGGCTGGGCCCGGGCCATGTTTCATCCCGGGGACTCTGGCCCCACCCTGAGCTCTGTCTGGGGCAGCGGGTCCCCTGGGATGGCTGGATGGAGCAGGGACGAGGGCCAGAGGAAGGACTCAAGGCTGCCAGGGCTCTCTCCATTTTGGAGTGCCCGACACCTCCAGGAATCTGAGGATGGCCTTGTGTCCATCCCTTTGTCTGGGGTGAGACACCTGGCTCCGGGCTCCACCAGGCTGCCTCTGTCCCCACAGATCCCCGTCCAAGCCCTGGAGATGCAAATGCAGCAGCTGTTTAGACAGAGGGCGTCAGAGGGCCTGGGGGAGAGAGGCGTGCTTGGGGATGCCCACGGACATGCAGGCAGGGCAGCCCCGCTGCAGCCCCCGCTGCCTCGCTGCTCCGCGTCGCAGCGCAGTAGTGCACACGTGTGTGTCTGCGAGTGTGAGTGCTGGGTGGGGGTCACTGGGCGTGGTGGTGCTCCCCCACCCCCGCAGACCTCCCTGGAAGAGCTCCCTTCTGAATCAGGTAGCCATCGTGCTGGGGGAGCACGTCCTGCCATCCCTGCGGGTGGGTGGAGCCCCGCGGTGTGCTGGGCCCATGCTTGTCGGGAGGCAGTGGGCACGCACACAAGTACACGAACACGGAGTGACAGCAGTGACAGTGGGACAGGGGTTGTGCGAGGAGATCATGAGGAGGGCCTTAACTTAGGGCGAGAGGTTAGGGAAGGCCTCCTAAAAACGGTGACTTCCAAGACCCGAGAGGCAGAGAGGGGACATCCCACAGAAAGATGGAGGCATCTGGGAGCACTCTAGAAATGGGAGGAGGGCTGTGGGCAAGGGGAGAGCTAGGGAGAGGAGGCTGGGGAAGCTGCAGGGCCTTGGGGCTTTGGGGGCCTTGGGGCCCTTGGGAGCAGCAGGCCAAGGAGTCCAGACTTTGTCCCCCACGGGCTGAAGTGGTGGAAGAATGTAAGCAGGGAGGGGCACAAGCAGGTTTGTAATGCGATGCTCATCTGGCTGGCAGCCCCATGGAGTGGACTGGCCAGGCACGAGTTTCACGGGATGAGGATGGGCTAGTTCAGTGTGCCAGGGTAAGGGCAAGACAGGAGCATAGAACAACCTTCACACTCTGGTATGGCAAAGGTACCTGTGCGCATTGATTCTGTTGGGGAAATCAGGGAGGCTTGCTGGAGGAGGTGGCATTTGTGTTGGGTCTAAGGGAAGGCAGGTAAAGTGGAAGCTGGCACTCCAGGCCTAGGGAATAGCTTGGGTAAAGGTTTGGCAGGGAGGGAATAAGGGTTGGGTTTGATGAGTCAGAGAATGAGAAGTGACTCCTCATGGTCACCAGGTCCCTGGGTGACAGCGAGCACTGGGGTCTGTTTCTGATGGAGTGGAGCCCTCTGATGCCCAACCAAGGTTTGGCAGCAAGGCCTGGCTTCGAGGAAGCGGAAGTCCCTAAAGTCAGTGGACTTCTGCAAGCCTGCACCTGAGGGTGGGCACTTCCCCAAACGCTAAGCAGCTGGAGGTGGGGTAACGGGAAGTGAGGGCCTCAGGCTCTACCCAAAGAGCCTGGAGGAGGAGCCTCCTCCACAGTAGAGAGAAAGCAGGGCAGGGCCTCCCGAAAGGCGGCTTTGGGGACCCGGGAGGGCCAGGAGACACGGAGCAGCTGGAAGAAGTGAGAGGAGACCTTGGCCCCGGCCTGGCTGGGCAAGCCCCCGTCCTTGCGGCCCTGGATCACTGACCGCCATGGCCCTGGCCCAGCAGCTGCGGGCTGAGAGGTGAGTGCCGGGGCATCGCCTTCCTGGGCCTCCTCACTGCTCCCCGCAGTCCTTAGGGGCAGCGGCTGGCCCCTCCGTAGTCCCTATCTGATATGAGACGTTGAGGTTGAGTCAGAACCCAAATACTCGGAAACGCAGACTCTCGGAACTGCTTTGGGGAAGCTTGACCGCTTCCCTCCACGCAGATGAGCACGCCACAGCTCAGAGGGGGAGTGACTTGTCCAGGGTCACACAGCGAGTGGGTGGCAGAGCTTGCATGGGAATGCAGGTGTCCTGGGTTCCAGGCCGGGGCTCTGCTCTCCACTGTGGTCAGAAATGACTTTCCACCTTCTGTTCATAGAGAACCACAGAATCTGGGTGGTTCTCTCTTTATTCAGGTTTGACTCAAATGTCACATTCTCCAAGAAGCCTTCCCTGACTGCCCCACCTCACTGCTCTCTGACCACTCACCCTATCGCCTTTTCTGAAATAGTCTTTTTATTACTGGCGTCTTAGTATATACTCATTTATTCTCTCTCGGTGGCTCCCTTATTAGAAGCCAGGTCCAGGAGGGCGTTTGTCTGTCCCCATCACTGCTGTGCCGCTTAGGTCATGGCCCAGCGCCAGGTACTGAGTGCTCAGTAAATGTGGTCAAATGAACGAATGAATGAACCTTTGAGCTGAAAAATGTCCTAGCTTCTTCTTGTCCAACCCTTCCACTATACAGATGGGAAAATTGAGACCCAGAAAGCTTAAAGGCTTTCTCCAGGCCACATGGAGTAGGTGGCCAGGCTGGGGCTCAGAGCTCTCTTCCCAGGGCTTAGCTTTATCTCTCAGCAGCTATGGGGGCTCCTGTCCCCGGGGTCTGAACGTAGGAGGCATCAGGAAGTGAGGGCCACTGTGTGGGGGCCACTCTGAGTCCCTGGAGATGAGTCAGGCTGCTTTGGGTCTAAGTGGCAGCAAAAGGTCATGGTGAAACCTGAGGTTGGAGGTCGAAATTCGGGTGCAATTTTCAGAGGTTGAAGGTCAGGATGAAGGCTTGTTGGTGGGGAGGGGGCAGCAGAAGCCATGCTAGAGTAAGGATCCTGAGCTGTGGAGGGTGGCGCTGGGGGCTGCATGAGGATGGCCAACCAGAGCCCAGCCCCTTTGCCCACACCCAGGCTGGCAGGCACATGCAGACCTTCCGGAAACAACAGCTGCTCGGGGTCTGGGAAGCTTCCTGCTTCTGGGTGCAGGACTCAGGAGATGGCAGGGAGCTGGCCAGCAGGGCTGTGAGTCCCCTCTTTCCCACTCCTCATCTCTTTTCCACCATCCTTGACTCTCCGCATAGGGAGGCCCGCTCTCCTCGCCCCCTCACAGGGCCTGAGCAGGTACGGGGTCTGGCTTGCCTGTCCTCGGAGGCCTTCTCTGAAAGTGGGCCCTGGATAGTTCTGCTTGAGACCAAAGTGGACGGCCCAGAGAGGGGAAGCAAGTGCACTCAGTAGAACATTCTAGAACACAGAGAGGGTGGCCGAAGATGGGAAGGGCTGCTGCAGGGGTGGCGAGTGCAGTTCCGACAGACAGACAGCATCATCGCGGCCACCACGCTTGGCCTGGCTCCATGCAGCCAGAGCCCACTGCTTCCAAGGGTCTGTCCAGCCTCGGCCTCCCCAGCCCGGGCTCCAGAGCACACATTTCACAGGCAGCCCCGCGTACGCCCTGGGCCCTGGGCGGCGCCATGTACGCACTGGGCCGTGGGTGCATGTTTCACGGAAAGCCACTGAGCCCCGGGTAGAGTTGGCATCTAGGGTTTGCTGCACCCAGGGACTCGCCAAATGCAGACAGAGGTCCCGGCTGTGGGTTGAGCACCTAGCACGTGCCCGGGACTGCTGTGGGTGTGAGCAGAGATCCTGTCCTTGTGCTGGTTACAGATGGGACTCACGGTGACCCCGAGACAACAGTGCTTCTACTGTCCCCGCCTCCCAGAGCAGGGGAAGGAGCCGAGCTCCCCGCTGGCAAGGCGATGGGAATTTGCCCCTGGTCTCCCCAGCCCTGTCCTGTCGGCCTGCTGTCCACCCTGCTGGTTGGCCCACGCCTGCCCCACTTAACCCTGACCTTGGCCCCCAGTTCCCCAGGACAGAAGCCAGGCCGTGCTCACAACTGGGGTACCTGGGGATTCCTTATTTCACGTCCTCCTCCCCCTCCTCGGGGCTGAGAGATCCAGGAAGAGGGGCTGTGTCCTCACGTGCTTAGGGCAGCGCTGTGTAAGGGTTTGCAAAAGTGGTGGTTTCAGGTGGGGAGCAGGTGAGGACCGGGATTGATCTCTGTCCATACAGCCCGCTGCTGCGGGGCTCCGAGCCAGGGGGCAGAGCAGCCATGTCTGGAGACAGACTCCTGGAGGCAGACCGCGCGGCTCAGATCCCAGCTTCCCGGCTGTGTGAGCACCTGAGCCAGACGCTCTGTGCCTGTCTCCTCGGCCGTGGAAAGGCCACGTCGCCCGGAGCAGTGTGCACTCAGGAAACCGTAGCTGTAGTTATTACCCAACCTCCCCTGATCCCTGCTCGGCCATTTCTACTCGCCCCTTCCTTCCTGCCCCACCACTGCCGTGTCAGATGAAGTCACCCTCCAAGTGCCCAGGGAGAAAGTGGAGGAGGAAGCTCCTCCACAGGTGTCACCCGGAGGGCAAGTGTGGAAAGTGAGGGGGAGGCGGCCAGCAGCCACTGAGACGTTCTGGGGCTGGGGGATTTCCTCCACCCGCCCGCCACCACCCTGAGTCACCTCCCGGAGGCAGCCCAGTCCTGGGCTGAGCAGACCAGGTCACATGGGCTGGGACTGGGGTGTGTGGACTCCCTGGGGCTCAGAGCTGGCAGCCCCTGGCCTGCCCCGTTTCCCAGGGCCTGCACTAGATGAATCACTATGGCTTCTGGTTGCCTCATCTGTCCATGAGCGGCTGGACCGGGTGCCCCCTGGCCGCTCCTGCTCCCTCCCCTTGGCTGTTCTCCCTCCGTCTGTCTGTCCCTCTCAGCTCCCTCCTCTGCTTGCAGATAGCTTTCCCAGGGGCCCTTAGCCAGTTGGTTCTTACTGCCCCCTCCATGCCAAGCTCCAGAGCTACCCCCCAGCTTCCTGCTGGACATCAATTGATTGATCTGGGTGCCCGAGAGGCATCTCCAATTAGCGGACCCTCGGACCAAGTCCATCTGCCACGCTCT